CATAACGACAGGTATCATGAGTTTCTAGGCTGTCAGATCGAACCCAGGCTCGTGAAACGCACCTCAACAGCTTTGTACAGTGTATAATGAACTAGTTGTCCGAATTTAAAACCGTAAAAATCACATGTGCTTTTGGCTCCCACGTAGCTTACCTTACTTAAATTTGGACGGTTTGACACCGATATACGTCAGGAGCTGTTCGGGTATTGTGCATTATCAGACGTTAGATACGTCACTGGGCGCCCTTCCAGGTTTGGAGCCGTTAAAAATAAGCGAAAGGCGCAGAAAGCCGAAGGGTTTATGAGTAGTACCGCGTTAGACCCCGCCGTTACGGGGTTCCTTATGATGTTATCGGTTTTAAATTCGGACGACTCACTGTACAAAGCTGTTGAGGTGCGTTTCACGAGCCTGGGTTCGATCTGACAGCCTAGAAACTCATGATACCTGTCGTTATGACATGGCCCTTTGACAATTGGCTTTGTCTCTCGCGATCTAAAGCTCATTCTCCAATTTCTTTTTTGGCGGCAACATCGACCTTCCTTTCGAATCGACCGATGACCTCACGAAATTTAGCACTAGCCGGTCTTCTGGCTGCGAGTATTGCGTCCGCAGAAGTCCAAGTCCCGGTTACCGTGCAGCATGATGCCACCTACTTGCTACCAAAATCTCGCGGCTTGCCCTGCTCGGGTGACGGAGCGACGCCCGTCGGCACGAGCTGCCCCAAAGCTGGAGATATTGCTTCTACCAACTGCCAGCCCTACCTTTTGTCCTATAATGGAGCGGTGTGCGTTGCCCCAGTCGACGCTCAGTGCGTCCTCGTGGTCGACGACACGTGGGGGTGTGCATTCCCTCAGACGGGATACACTTCAGCTGCAGAAGCCGAGACCATCGCGATGTACGGCAACAAAGGAGCAAAGTACGACAAGACCCTTGACATGCCGCTAGGTGTTAACTGCGATGTTGCTTCGGATAAAGTTGGCGAAATTACAACGGGAAACTACGGTAGCACGACCCACAAGAGCGACGGCGCTACCTCCAACCACTATGGCAGCCCAACCACGGGCACGACCACTGGTACTTTCGGCAGCAAGAAGAAGGAGAGCGCTACAAACGACAGCTACGACATTACAAACCATATTACTAAAGACGGGAGATCCGGCAACTATGGAGTAAACACGGAAGGTGGTAAAATGATGGGCCATCACAACCAACATGGCGTTGCTAAGGACGACGCAGACGGACACCATAAGCATGGCGCTGATAAAGACGTTAACGCTGTACACCAGAAGCATGCCAATGCTGAACACGGCAATGAGGGACATCAGAAGCATGGCCTTCCTGAAGACGATGCTACCAAGAAATACGAGCATGGCGCTGCTGATGTCGGCACTGACAGACAGAATCATGACGCTTCTAAAGACGGTGCTAACAAAAAATACGAGCATGGCGCTGCTGAAGTCGGCAATGACGTACATCAGAGGCATGGCACTTCTAAAGACGGTGCTAACAAGAAATACGAGCATGGCGCTGCTGAAGTCGGCACTGACGCACAGAAGTATGGCACTCCTAAAGACAATGCTAACAAAAAATACGAGCATGGCGCTGCTGATGTCGGCAATGACGGACATCAGAAGCATGGCACTTCTATAGACGGTGCTAACAAGAAATACGAGCATGGCGCTGCTGATGTCGGCAATGACGGACATCAGAAGCATGGCACTTCTATAGACGGTGCTAACAAGAAATACGAGCATGGCGCTGCTGATGTCGGCACTGACGGACAGAATCATGACGCTTCTAAAGACGGTGCTAACAAGAAATACGAGCATGGCGCTGCTGAAGTCGGCACTGACGCACAGAAGTATGGCACTCCTAAAGACAATGCTAACAAAAAATACGAGCATGGCGCTGCTGATGTCGGCAATGACGGACATCAGAAGCATGGCACTTCTATAGACGGTGCTAACAAGAAATACGAGCATGGCGCTGCTGAAGTCGGTGCTGCCGGACGCTTCGAGAACGGCGCGTACGGATACAATCAACATGGCGATGACGGACTCTATCAGCATGGAGCTGCCGGAAACCACCAGTATGGCGGTGACGGTCTCTATCAGCGTGTCGCTGACGGACTCTATCCGCATGGCGTTGCCGAAGACCATCAGAATGGCGGTGCCGACCACTATCACCATGGCGGCTACTACCAGCATGGTGCTGCTAAAGATGGTGCTAGCGGACATTGGAAGCATGCTGCTGCTGAAGACGGCACTGTCAGACACCAGAGGAATAGCGCTTCTGAATACGGTGCATTCGGACCCCAGAAGCAGGGTGTTGACAAAGTCGGCGGTATTAGTCACTACGAGCACGGCACTGACACATACTTTCCACATGGCGTTGCCGAACAGCTCCCTCATGGCGATGACGGACACCACCAGCATGGCGATGCCGAGCACCATAAACATGGCGATGCCGAGCACCATAAACATGGTGCTGACGGATACTACCAGCATGGCGCTACCGGATACTACCAGCATGGTACTGCCGGATACTATTACCATAACGCTGGTGGGCACTATGATCCTGTGGGATCTAAGACGACTGCTGATTACAACTACCAAACTGAAGTCCCGTCAAGTGACAAGACCTACCCAACTCACGACGCATACGATGTCTACAAATCCAAAATGACCTCGAAGAAGTATGACACCGAAGAGCCTCCTACTGATACAACACAGCCGCCTATCGTGGTCCCTGACGTTGTGACGGTGGTTCCTACCATAGTAACGGTGGTCCCAGATATCCTATCGGTGGTACCAGATATTTTGACGGTGGTTCCTGATATCCTATCGGTGGTCCCTGATATCCTAACGGTGGTTCCTGATGTCTTGACGGTGGTACCAACGCTTCCGACAGTACCGACAGTACCAACGCTTCCGACCGTACCGACAGTACCGACGCTTCTGAGACGGATGTGATCATCCGGCAGACATCTGAAAGTCGTTGAGCCAACTTCGTAGCACCATATCCATACGAAGTGCACTATACATAGTAGTAGAAGAGCATTTCGTAGTTCAGGGATTCAGGCAATCATAACAAAATAAAATGAAAGGGTAGTTTCAAGATAATTCCATAATATTATCTCCTGAAAATTATTATCGAGCGTTATACAGCTAACTATGGAGGCTGAACTGTCCAATGTTGTGTTCGCGCAATTCATAAGATTTTGTATTGGGGTAGTTATCCTGAGAACCTGTTCACGTGTAAGTAGCAGTACAAAGTTATAGCCGATAGAGAGGAGTCCAACATTCCGCGATAATATATGCAGCATTTTCATAGAATGACAGGCTTTTGACTCTCTGTGGTAGTCTTTTCTAGCCTTTCAAAAACGCTACCTCGGTCATAGCAATTGTCCACATCGTGAGATCTTCGAAAACACTCGTGAGATCAATTGCGAACTAACTGGAGTAGACCCTTTTCGACCTGACAGGCACACGTGTTATACATGAAATAGGCAGTGAATTGGCAGTCTCGCTTTACCGCCTAATTGAAAATTTGTTTTTGAAACTGCTAAACAAGTAACGTTGCTCGTGTGTGAGTGAGTACACAGCTTTCATTCATCTGATCCCCCGCTTCAAGCTACTTCTTGGTATTCGACTTGACGTTCGGAAACAAGAGATACTTCTGTCTATTATAAAATGTGAAGAACTGTAGCTTTTCAGCAATCGGTAGCATCTGGACTAGAGGAGTTAGCTTGCGAAAAATGCCTGACATACTCGTTGCAGAACAAAATATGAGGGAAGGGCTGCACTAACGACAGCGTTTGTTTTTATTCGATGGCTTTGCATTGTATTCTGCTAGCTGAGTATGATTACATGCATATGTAGACGCATACGACGTTGCTACAGGTCGAATTAGACTGGATAGCATATGTTACTTACTGGTTTTGTCCTGCGATTGCGACGGAACCTGCGCGACAATGAGTTGTTCACGAAAGCCACGATAACGAGAGCACCACCAAAGAAAAGTATAATCGGCGCCGCATAGTGGAATGTATCCACGTTGATGCTGTCCGTTGCGCGATGCCAAAGCTGTCCAACATTCTTTACGTCATTTTCCTGCACAATTATCCGGTTTGGCGTGCCATGTAATGTCCAGACTCCTCCCACAATTTCTTCCACTTCTGTTGCGTTAGCGTACGGTACCCAGTGCCTTTGCTCGCACGACTCAGCATCTTTCTTTCCCTCTTCAAATGTCACCCCGCAAAACTCCAGGTATTGTTTCAAGGTCCGCACATTTCCAAACCCGTACTTATCCAGTTCAATTGTGGTCACTCGTCCTACAAATGGTTGACCTACCAACACCTTGAAACGATTAATGCCCATCTTCTCCTCTTGGTCTTTGCGTTTTTGGTCCACTGGAATCGATTCAAACCGTGCTGGCACCGACGTGTAGTTATGATACACCACGCTTCCCAGCTTACTAGGTGAGTACATATCGTATCCATGTGTCCAAAGTCTTGAAGCTCTTATAAATTCCTCTCCGTCAAAAATCCACAACATATGCGAATCGACCGGCACTCTTTTTTCCGCGTGACACTTGTTGTACGAGAAGCCAGCACCCCATAGAGCTTGTAACTGCGGCATCTTAGATTCTCCGATAACACTAGCGCCAACATTTCTCACCAACCCATTGGCACCTCGCATTGTTGTACACAAATGTGGTAGGTCTACTTCTTTCGGCAGCTTATTATCTCCATTTTCCGCGACAAAGTTGTGAATGTGATGAATATACGTGGTCATCACTGCCATTTCGTTCCCAATGTCTTTCCATTCTTTCAACAGATTTTGATCCCATCCATTGGTAAAGATACTGTGTCCGTCCAGTTGAAGACAAAAATCTTCGTCTTGGATTAATTTCTGTTGATAGTGTCTCGCTAATGTTGGACCTCTGGATTCGCTTGACGAGCGTTCATCAACTCGAATCTGGTCTTTAAAAGGACACTCTCCTTGGTCTGGCCACACTTTTTGTGCCATGATACAAAATTCATCCAGACACTGTTGGTCTGATGGGTTTACTTGGTCGACCACCCCAAAGCTGATACTTCTTGGCTTCTTTGCCCTTAAGAAACCAGTGAGGATGGTTTGAGCACAACGAAAGCCGTCTCGAAAGACGGAAAGACCCACGAAAAGCTTGGGGTCATCGGGAACACGTGGAGAAGGAGGACGCAAATGAAGTTGCGATGGATTTAACGGAATATGCTGGACACTTGGATCCAACTCCACGGAACGATTGGTGCCCAAGATGCTTAAAGTGGACGCAAAGCCAATGTCGACCATGGAGAGAGGTAGAAGGAGCAGGAAAATATAGCGCATTGATGAAGTAGGCTTACAGGCACTGTCAATGGAAGAGCAGGAATGGTTCAATCCTTCTACTCAAAACATTAAATACCTGATGGATGTGCTTTCGCGTACGAAAACACATCCATCAGGTATTTGATGTAATTCTCTTAACGTACTCTACGAGTATCACTGATTATTAGTGAAGCTTCTTGTGGGAATCTGGTGATCCAAAACGTTTAAGGCAGAAAAAGCTGTCATGTTCGTGTCAATCATAACATTTGAGACCTCTCTCGCTTTTCATGGTGCCATCCCGAAAGTACATCATACCGATTTGATACGATTCCCCCATCGATTTGCTGGATTCCAGCTTTGATTGGAGTGTCCGAAGCACATCAGGCAGCTTTGTGAGATAGTGGTGCTGTCAACTCGGACTTCTTACGTCGGGGTAACCATTATGTTTGTACTTGTACAAGACCGACAGCTACTTTGGTTATCTACCTGTACCTTATCTTCAGTACTCTGCAATTTCACATCGGCGGCTGCTTCGTTCGCAAAATTTGCCGTACTTCTCGTTTTTTTCACGTTTGCACCACTTCTTCGCGCTTATTTCTTCATCTTCACGGGCGCTTTCGACTTCGGTGCGCTAACCGATTCGTGACTCCTGCCGTCGTGTCTCGATCTTCCAGGCAGCTAAAAGCTCTAGCTGCAGCTTTTGTAGCAACGCGTGCTTTGTATCAAGTGCGAAAGTCTTGAGCAACTCGAGAAAATGTGGCATTGCCTCACGCTTGAATGGTAATGTCATTAGCAACGGCACTGCATCGACCGTGTAACCTGCGCAGACACACGCAGCAACTACCGGGATCAGAGAAACACGCTGGCGCTTATCCTTGATAGCTGTTTGGCCTCCTGGCTTTGTCACAACACTTGGCTTTATCGCGTCTCGCTGCTGGTTTACATTGGTTTGTGGGTGTTGCACGCATGTCAACCAATTGATGCAGAAGTCGGAGAGTGTCGTTGGCGATGAAGCTCTACACTCGGCCATCCACAAGGCCAGAGAACGACGGGCAGCGGGGTTTATGGCTACTAATGTGACGCCAGTGCCAGTTTTGATCGCTCGAAAGAGACGCATGCCGTGACGCATCGAGGTTTCCGAGCTGTGCAACCTTTGTCCGTTCATTTGGTGATCCAATTGTAGGGGTTGAACTTGCGAGACACAGCAAGTCGACCCAATAGTATCAGCCGCATTAATATCGTGCGAGCTCCTTTTGCCCAACAGTGACTGCACCAACTGCAAGGATCCGTAGCGCGCAGCATAATCAAGCACTGACTCATTCTTGCCATGCGTTCTGGCTTGTAGTAGAATTTCTGCAGACTCGTAAGCGCAAAGCATCTCGATGACCTGCTTGTGCTTCTTTACGATCGCCAAATGCAGCGCAGTCTCACCACGCTCATTGACGACATCGATGCTCGTGTACTTGCTGTCTAGCAAGAAACGTACAGCGTCGACAACTCCAAGCTCCGCCGCTTGCAGCAGCACAGCAGCAGGGAAATCCTGTCTTCCGGATGTAGCGACCAGAGAGTAGTGGTTTAAAAGCAGTTGCAGTACCGTCGTATCCCCGTTGTGAACAACGATCGTTAAAGGGGTCTCGCCAGTCTTATCCGGGATATCAATTAGTGCACCTTGAGAAATCAGCAAGTTTGTCACCAGTACGCTCTGTTCAGGAGATGTTCGCAGACACACATGAAGCGGAGTTCTACCAGCTATGTCCTGGGCATCTATACATGCTCCATTTTCCAAGAGAAGTTTTGCTACCTCGAAAAGCTCATCATTCGTGGCTAAGAGTAGCGCTGTCTTGCCTTCCTGATCACGCGCTTCTATCTTTGCGCCGTGTCGGAGTAGCAACTTTACAACGTTCAGTGTGTTGTTCAGGCGTTCGGCATCCTCCTTACGGCACTGTATCAACACAAACAAGCGTTAAGCTAGATGAGCTACATACGTCACCATCTTCCACCAGCAATAGCAAACACCACTTACATCCGTGACCGTATTGAGCTGCACGACCGCACTTCCCTGAAAGACCGCACGCAACGCTTGAACATTGTGTCGCATGAGTGTTGCCATCAACGCCGTTACTCCTCGACGACCTCTCTCATCTACTTGCTGGCCCTCTTTTAGCAAAAACTCCAAGACGTCGTAGTTGCCGTCCCAGGCAGCCGCATGGAGCGCAGAGGCTCCTATCGTTGGAAGGTGAAACTTTTCCCAGTCACAAAACGACGGAGCTTCGTCGCCCACATCAGCATACTTTGGATTCAACTTGGACGTTATTGCAACCTACACCAAGAACACGATCGATGTGCATCAGCGATACCCGCAGACAGGCAGCGATGAACCAGGCAAAACAATCGGACGAGGCAAGTGGACAAGAGTAGTACTTGCTCGAAGCACCACATCAAGATGGCTTTGGTCCAGTACGTACGCGTTCGAGTGCGAGCCACTTGGGGTGCGTCTTGCGAAGACTTTGCATGGTCGTGATATCACCTCTGCGACCGGCATCGAGCCACGCTTGCTCTACCTGGTTGCAGGTGATGGCATTCTCCATCCATTTCATCGTCCCCGCCATGACCGACTTCGTTCTGGCAGATCGGCAGTCGGTCGGCGTGATTTGGAATGATACAAGCAGTGCTATCGGAGACTTGGACGGTTAGTTGGATCTTATTCCGTCACGCCGGACTTGCAGTCCAGACGTCGCATCAGGCAAGTCTCATCCTTTCGGAAAAAGCGACTTGAGCGCTTTGGTGACGCAGGCAGGCCGGTGAGAAGACGAAGGCGAAGAGAACGCGCCGTGGCTGGCTAGCAGCAGCTCGGATCCTGACTTTGGCTTTCAAAGCTTTGCAAAGGCTGAGAAAAATGGCAGGAAGCACAGATAAGAGGACATCCTCAGATGTTCATGTGTGACAAGAAGATATAGATGTGAACCTGGAGCTGAGCTGTTTGCAAAGGTGGCGTTTACGTCTCATTGCTCGCCTCGTTTCTGAAAGGCTCAGCAGTGATTGACATTGTTTCTGTACTGCAGCAATCCGTCATCTTCAGACCTATCTTCGTGATGTGGTGGCAGAGATACCGGACGCAAGACGTTAACGGTGACTATCATACACTTACGAGCTGCATTTGATAAATTAGCTCCATATCGTCTAAGTTTGGTGCAAGAATGCAACGAGAGAACAGCGTTTGTGCCGGCAAATACATAGTAGTTGAACGTCTGGGCGCTCTCATCTTAGTGTCTAGACGTCCCATAATGTAGTACTGCAGTCTACATTTGCTTCAATACTATCAAGTTGAGTGACTCGTTTTGACACCTACTGCTGGTGAGGGTGGACCTCAGTATTTGCTGGAAAGCAGAAGGCGCAGACGCAATAGCAAGTTCGTAGAAAAGTCCACCATGCGCTATGTGGGTAACCAACCTAATGTCTAGCAATGAATCTTTGTCCAAAAGGTTCAATGAGGCCATGCTCAGTGCAGTTTTAATCTCGTTTTGCTTTGTTTATGAGATGAATCTCATGTGTCGTTCACGAAACCAAACCATGAAACAACATTGAGGCAAGAATTGGAGAATGAGCGAGTGACTTGTTGCAAACTGAGTCAACAACTTTATAAAATCATTGACACGACTTGGCAGATTCTTGCAATGAAAACGATAGTTTTACATGGAGAAAAGCTATGCCTTGTCGACACATGACAAAAGTTTCACGGATGGTCACAATACCTATGATGGTGGAGTTCACTGAGGATAAAAACATCGATGTATATCTTCATTACGGCTTTTGCTGGGTCTCCTTACGATCCTTTCATATCTTGTTACAAATTCTAAATTTCTAAAATAGAATATATATATTTATCGCCAATCATATTCAAGTAATAAAAATCCCACGGTATATCTTACGCCAATCAAACAATAATGGCTGCCAAGTTTTCCATGGCCAATACCTCTGGACTGTTTGATTCAGCAGCTCATGTGGAAGCTTCAGATCGAATGCAAAATGCAATAGAAGAGCTAAAAGTAAAAAAGGAGCGTCAAGAAAAAACGCGCACAAAGCAATTGGAACAAGAGGAAAAGGAGACAAAACAATGGACTCTTCGAGTCGAAGAGGCATTGGAGGCCAAAGCTGCAGATCAGAAGGAAAATCGTACTTATGTGGGGAAATATAAAGAAGAAGAAGAAGAAGAAGAAGAAGAAGAGTTGGACTCTGATGACGAGACAATGGTGGATGGTCTGGACAAAGATCCAGAGCTCGAACGGTCTCTCTCTCTCTCTCCCTCTCTCTCTTATTAAGAATATTGTTTCTTAATGAAAGGTTTTTTTGTGATATACTGTATATTTTGTAGGATACGTGCCATGAGGTTAAAGGAGTTAAAGTTTGAGTATGAAGAAACGCAAAAATTAATGGCTAAAGGTCATGGAGAGTACCGAGAAATTGTGCAAGATGAGTTTCTAAAAGAGGTTACAAGCAGTCCATTAGTAGCTGTGCATTTCTATCATCGTGACTTTGAACGTTGCAAGATCATGGACATGCATCTTGCAAAAATGGCTCCACGTCACATGGAGTGCAAATTTCTCAAGCTCAATGCTGAGAAAGCTCCTTTTTTCGTTGAAAAGCTCGCGATCCGAGTCTTGCCATCCATTGTGTGCTTTAAAGACGGTGTGGCTTTTCTCGAGCGGGTTATTGGGTTTGAAGGCCTTTTGCAAGACGAGGAAGAAGTTGAAGTGATGAATTCTGGTAGTCGCTCAAACCATCACGCCTCGTCAATGAACGACTTTCCTACGACTGCTGTAAGTATTTTCTTTCTTGTTGTGTATTATATATTCAAGTACTAATGTTAACATTATTTTATCTTATGGTTGTAGCTTGCCCGTAAACTAGTGGAGATTGGTGCAATTCATGAACATGACCTAGCCGACAAATAGAGATCGTCCGTCACTATTTTAAAGCAAGTTGCGAATTCATTTAACTCCATTTACTCTAATTAAAAAAAACGGTTACATATACGTCACTATTGTCATGTTAAAACGACATTTAGTACACTTTCCTCCCATCTGATTTGTCAATCAACGCAAATATTCGTCTTATGCAATCAAAAAAAAAAACATTAGAATCTCCACCCTAATTCCTCTCATATCAAGTAACCGACCCTTTAATCCGTTACATTTCATTAATAACAAAAAAAAAACCTTTTCATGAATATATTTCAATCATTTTTTCAAACGCCATGAATCCCACAAATCTTAACCATCGCCACAGTCCCTCCTTATCCGAACAAATTCCAAATGTTCAGTATCAAACCTCTAAATCTCCTCCACTCGCCATGGCGGTCCTTTATTCTCCTCCTCCTCCTCCTTCTTCTTCTTCTTCTTCTTCTTCTTCTTCTCAAAGTCCTTTTGAAAAACTTAATACATTAAAACTTCTTTTAGATTGTGGTCATTTAACGACCGATGAATATCAAGAACGAAAAACTCAAATTATCAATGAAATGACAGGCACATCAACTGAAAAAAGTAAAAAAAAAACATTAAAAAATCTACCACATGCAAGACGATCTGTACTTGGAACTCCAACGTCTTCGTCTCCTCCTTTATTACAACCTTTACTTAAAACGGTTGTACCCCATGGTCCTCCGGATTTTTCAAGAATTCGAAAAGAACGAGCAGATAAATTAAGTTTTAATGTCGATACCTTGGAATGGCATTCCACGCCAGTTACGATTAAATTGGATCTTGTACCATTTGCCACGGGACAGCTACGAAATGCTTATTATTTACAGGTACGACCATGTTGTAACATTGTTTTTTTTTCTTTTTCTTCTAAGTTTTTTTTTAATTTTCGAGAATTTCTCATGGGTGTTTTATTTTTTTTCTTCCTGTAAATGATATAGGAACTTGATGCCGAGGAGAATGTATCGAGTTTATTAGTGGCAAAATTAAGTCTTCGTCCGGCAGAACCAAGCACATATTTGAGTGATGTGGAAATGCAAGCTGTATGTGCCCATTATGCAGCACTTTACAATGAACATGAACCACCATTAAAAGTGTGTTATGCACGATCATGGCTTTTGAAATTACGAGATCGAGAACGAGGAGCTTTAGTTTGTTCGGTGGAGGAATTTTTACCTGGAGCATATGTGAAATATAGCAACAATAGTGGCTATGTCGGTCGAGAAACCAGTACGACCGAAGAACGGGAACGCAACACGCCACAGGCATTTTCACACTTTTCGTTCGTGGCTTCAGATTTTCGGTTGATGATTGTTGACATCCAAGGAGTCGCGGATAGCTACACAGATCCGCAAATTCATTCAGCAGATGGTCGTGGATTTGGTGTTGGAAACCTTGGGACTTTTGGCATGGAGAAATTTCTTGAAAGTCATCGATGTAACGAAGTCTGTCGATGGCTGGGACTTCGTAGTATTAATGAACAATACAAGCCGGGTGGAACTGCTGCTCCAGGTTATGAGATGCCTTTTGGAGGAGCTATTAAAAAATCCACAAATCGAATAACAGAAGAACGCAATACGTTCTCTACATCAGTCACAGTCAGTGAAGCTTTTGGAGATACGGCTACTGGAGAGTGGACGGAGCGTGAAGATTCGAGGGTAGAGAGCGGAGATGAAGAGGATGAGGACGAGGAAGAGGATGACGACGACGATGACGAGGACACTGTCGAGCATTCGGATTCAGCCTCTTATGCTATAGACTTGTCGCCTGCGATATCGGGGCTGCAGCCGCGGCATTCGAAATCGAAGCGGCCAAAACAGAGATTTTTTTCGTCTCCTGCTGCCTTACGTGGTCGGGGTAGTGGGAGATCAGGTAGCAGGTTAACTGAAGTTGAACGTGGTCGCCGATTCCGCCATCCACAGCTTAGCAAACATTCCAGTTTCGTTACAGGGAGTCCTGGTGCTGGAGGAGATAGCCTCTGGGCTTGCGTTTTTCGGATATTACTGTGTGGGTGTACGTGAATCGTACCCATAATTATGATTCGGCACCGATCGTGCAAAGAGATGTTCTTCTTGCTAACAAGCACATATAGAGGTGATTGCTGACCGGGGAGAAGCAGCTTTATGGCAATGGTATTCTCTTGCGAGATATCATCGATTGTTGATCAAAACAATATAGTCCACTGGTTAAAACATGAGAACAAGGTTGGTGTCTTCTGAGCGCCCGTTTTCATTGTCAGACGAGCTTCAACGTGATGCCATGCTACATATATCTCAAGCGAGAGGTTGATATATACCCAAAATTTATTCAATGGCAAGCTGTTCCAACTCTCGTCATTCCACTATTTCGATTGTGTTTCGGTTTACACGGAGATGGTTTTCAATACTACATTTGCAAGTGTTCGCCACGGGAGATTTATCATACTTGCGCGTTGGAAAGAGTATGCTTGCCAAGTCGTCCTTGGCGATGCTTTCGCTGGTTTTTCAGTCGGGAAAACTTCAGTTTTTCGAATCGGATATGATGCCTTGTGCATCCAGACCGTTCTTCACTCCTCAATAAGGCTACCTGAATTCTCGCTGAAGCAAACGCCCACGACCGTCAAGAGATCACTCCATAGTATTCACAATTGGCAAGCTTTATTGACATACAACAACAACATTGTAGGTTAATATTACGTACGCACTGCTGATGCTACATCCACCCTGGAGAGTTTCTATCGTCTCCAGATCTTGAAAAGGCGAGACCGAGCATAGGTGGGAATCACATTGAGCTTTTCGCTTGGGTTGCGGCTTTCGACTGGATCGCCGGTTTCCATTTGGTCCTCACCTACCGTGGTTACGGTCAGACGGATCCAATTCAAATTCTGGTTCACGCTCACGCTCTCGATCGGTAAATCGGAGACTGACGCCTGTGTAATGGACATCTCGTGTTCCGCTTCCCATTAGAATCTCACTGGTTTGATGATCGCTCTCTCGTTCATCAATACACTCTCGACAACGTGCACAAACTGACAGCGGTGCAACGTAACGATTGTAAATAGTGACTCGTTCGTGTGAACAGCACACGGGCTCGTCACATACTCGATACGCACACAAATCACATCGTCGCCAAGTTTTCGACAGTGTTGGAAAGAAAGACCGAGTACAGGCAATACAGTGCCAATTACGGTGCGTTCCACCTGAACACCTTTCATCTTCCGAGTCGACAACTCCCATTGCTCGAAATGAATTCAAGAGTGCTTGCCATACTCGACCAGGAACTGTCCGTTGGTGTCGAAGATTTCGTCGACGAAGTACCTTTTCCAATCTACAAACACCTCTAGCAAGAAACAAGAGTCGATCTTGAGCTACTCGAGAGTCACAACCACCAGGTACATTGCCTAGAAATGCAGCTTGGAACGTAATGCGAAGTGTCTCGGGGTTCCGAGGACTCGGTTCTGCTATCAACCAGCCTGATATCGGATGTAGCGATATGACGCGGTCAGATGGTGCCTTCCCCGCCAGCACATCAGCAGCATCGAGTGTACAGAAGGACATTTGAAACCCTTCTTGTGTAGGTGTTAAGAGTTCAATGTAACAGCATTGTTCATTCTTAACCCGATGACTTGAATCCGATGACTCAGATGCCGTCATCGAAGTGGACGCGACACTAGTCGATGGTCGTGGATAAAAGGCCAATCTTTGGTGTGCAAAGCTCACTGTCCGAACCATCAGTTGTTGGCCCATAGCTGACCTATTAGTACCAGGTGATAGTACTAGTGACCCACGTTCCGTGTTGGGAATAGCATGTAAGAGTGAGGTGTAGATAAAGTGGGAACCGTACAAAGCACGTAGCAGCGCATTGCTCTCACTTTCACTTGAATCTCGCACTAATGCCAGCAGTTTCGAGATTCGAGTTCGAATCTCACCTTCACCAAGCACTTGGCATTGCCGCGACTGGGCATGTCGTACCCGAAAATGTACTTTCATGCCATTTGTGACACCAATTCGAACGCGTTTCCATCCGCGTTTGGACGAAAGTTTGCCAAGGTCGACACGTCTCTCAGGAATTGCTACACGCTGGACGCGCTGGATCAACTCACGGTCACTAAGTCGCACTTTTCGTGTCGATCTGTTCGAAGGTGATACCGACGACGTATTCAATCGAGTGCTGGATGCCGGACCCTCTTCCAAGATCTGATGCATGAGCCAGTCCCTTTGCCAGCAAATCGGAGAGTGGCGACAGGATCAACGGGCCAGACTTGGACAATAGATATTGGGTTGAGTCCCACGGAAAAGAACGGAGAAGAGACCGAGACAATGGAGACGTACGTATGACAAGTCAAACGTTCTATCGAATGTGTCTATGGTTAGTCGATGGAATCAATGACGAATTCGAACATACGGTCCTTACAACTACTGGATGTACTTTTCTACCAGGACGACAATACAAACAGCGTGACCTTTGGAAGACTATGATACTATACGACAAAGCACTTGCATCGACGATGCGTTGATGACAGATGTCAACTGGTAAGCAATCAAGACATTTTGCTTTTGGGGAGCTCAGTACGCATCATGACAGCTTCAAGTTGAAGTGCATGTCCACCATGACGTTGAAATGGTTGTAGTAAACCTACAATGTACTATTACGATAGTGTCCTGTCCTCTTGCTTGTTTCTTCCACTTGGAAACAGCTTTGGGCAAGACTTAGATTTTCACAGAGCCAGGAGGATACACGGCTCGAAGTTGACTGTCAAAATCTTCCCGAGCGACACTCTCCCGGCATCGGGCGCACACCAGTAGCGGTGCTACATGTCGATTGTAGATGGTCACATGTTGTGGCGAGCAGCATGCACTGCATACGTTATAGGAGCATAACTCGCAACGTCTACAGCTCCGTGTCATGAAGATGTGACATAAAGTTCGCGTACATACGATGCAGCGCGAGTTTCGGGGTCCACTCGCAGCAACGTGATTTGCGTTGCTCTTGAGTCGACGAGGCTGCTGAGCTCTGCTGTCTACCAGTTTTCCGAGCTTACACACGCCTTGGACGATCTTCCAAAGGCGAGCATTCATCACCTTCGGTGAACACAATCCGTCGCTCTCTGAACGGTGAAACCGAGCTCGAAAGACCACGTGTACTCCTGAGTCTACCGGTTCAGCAGAGAACCAAGTGCTGAACGGATGCAGGTGATGCAGCTTCCGACGCAGTGGGACCTGGATTTTACCTGTGACCATTTCTCGACCAGTCAACGAAAAGGTCGTAATGCTGAAGCCACCGCTTGAAGTGGGTGAGAAGAGTTCAGCATAGCACATTTGCTGGTTCTTCTTGTCAAACATGGAGGTGGACACAAAGGCAGACGTCTTAATCAGGAGCTTGTTGCTACGATCGTCTCCTTGTCGACCTAGCGCCGTTCTCTCGTGAGTGGCGTCAGTATCTCGACTGTGCGACTTGCGACGGAAGATAGCTTTATGCACGAGTGACCCATAGATGAAGTCTGAGCCGTACAGTGAATGCATGACCGAATTATAGTCGCTCTCGTTTGATGAGCTAAGTGGCAATGCCAACTGATCGATCGAGCACGCTACATTCCCTACCGCCAAGACCTCGCTGTCAAGTAGTGATGATAAAGTTTGCGAACTGTTGGTTTCGCTGTTCATTGGAGATTCTCGTGTATAAAGCTCAAAGCCCTTCTTTTGTCGTCGCGGTCGCCAGCCTTGATTTACTAAGCTCACGGATGAATGGTTGTCGCTACTACGAGATAAATGTTGCAACCGCTGTATCCGTCGAGCACGGCAAAATAGTTCTCGGTCATTGATCCGTACTGCTCGCAACGGAGAAGATCGGACCAATGTTGGATTCACGGACGGGGGTGTTAATGCAATGTAATTAGGGCGTTGTCGAAGACTATTTCGGTGTTTACAACGAACGACCGGCGTTCGTTCAACTAAATGTAGTGCTTGAAGCGGAGCTCGGACGGTAGTTTTCATCACGGGTCGTAAGAACTTTTTCCTCTTTTTGTTGAAAAGGGTAAATTGAGGAATGCAACAACTTCCTCACGGTCAGCATGACATGATTCAAATAGACGTAAGACTTGAGTCAAAAGGACTACTCAGATGAGAGATGAAACACTGGCCACAATCATCTTGCCCACCCTCTACTTGGAGACGAGCCCGAGAGAAAAAGACATATTCAACAAACAAAGTAGGACTAAAGGAACAAGAAGAAGAAAGTTAATTCTTTTCGTGATCCATCTTCTCAGTCTAGTAGAGTTTTCTCATAAAATCGTCTACAAAGGTACAGCCATGTCGGTTTTTCAGTTGCAAGTGCAACATGAAAAGCGTGGATCTGTTCATATTGTCGAACCATGGTAGGATTTTCGAATGACACGTCCATCACTTATAAGCTTGACACTGAATGATGAGTATCTAAGTTTGACCTTAATTTACTACTAAATGGTATTTCAAAGGAGTGAGTTGCTGCGTAATTCGGACTTTTTAAATCCTTATTGGTAACATACTAGGCAGTATACGGTGTTTGATGTATTGACACGTCTGAAATAGCCAGCGTATTTGCAGAAGAGCACATTCGATCTAGTGTCAGATGGAGAAAAATAATGTATTCTTGCCCATAATGTCAGCACTCATATTCATACGTGGTACTTTCATGTATCAAGTGTGTTAGAGACTTGTCGATAAATCTTCTTTTCGCTTCTCAGCATTGCGGATTGAAACCAACACTCTATACAGTATCAAGCTTAACCGTTATTACTTGCCACTGTGGTACAGTGAAGATCGCTTTGTTGATTGTACATCCTCTTATATTTGATACCACGAAGAAATGAGAATGTTTGTATATTTTTTTCTCGAGGGATTCTCGTTGTAACCTCTCACATATAATTAAAGCGTTCGGTGGCTCAGAAACCAAAGATTTAAACCCAAAAAAGGCATGGACGTTGCACTATTTTAGGCTCGAGCTGTGAAAAGGTCACGCTGCTTGTATTGTCGTCCTGGTAGAAAAGTACATCCAGTAGGTATAA